CAAATAGCATAGAAAAATAAAGCATTTTTTTCTTTATCAGACTATATAGAAAGAAAGTTACTTAAAGCTTATCATAAGGTATTAAGGTATCACTCTACGAACTTTTGGTATGCCCTAAGTATGTTATTTGTTATCATTGTTACCACTTTTCTTGTAATAAATAAAATGGCGTCGATGTTTTTAGGTTATTATTGGAACAAAAATATTATTTATCATATATACAACAAAAAGCAACTAATTCAAATGTTATTCAAAAACTAGATTCTGATCGTAACACATGTTAACGGCAACTTCAGTAATTTTCATCGGGAGGAAGTTCGAACTCTAAACTCTCAAAATATTAAAAGATATAGTGAAATTTTTTTCGAATTTTTTGACTTATTACGAATGTTATGAAGAAGAATTAATTTTTCTTTTTTCTTTTTCTTATTGATTATTTTATTCATCAAACATCGCAATAACCTATTTCAAGCTATTAAAGTTTTAATAGAATAAATGCGTCATTACAAAAAAAAAAAAAAAAACAACATCAAATGATTCATGAATTCAGCTAAGCGTGACCGGGAACTGTCTTTATCCAGAAAAAAACTAAAGATCGAGTTGTTTTTAAATCTATTCGAGATAGTATCGAAATTTTCTATGAAAAATTAGAAGTATAACTAAAGGGCTGCTTTTGATTACATCCTTCCTGTAGTTTTTCTCGAGTTATTATGAGGTGTTTGGTATATTAAAAACACTTTTTTTTTTGTTTCTTCCTTCTTGATTCACTTCTCATAGATGGTCGACTACAGCTTACTATGAATAATATCGTTTGTTATTTTTTTTTTTTCTTTATTTTTGTGACGATTGTCAACGTCAAGCACAATATGTTGTATCGACGCGTGAAAGTATAATTCTTCTTAACAAAAAGAAAACTGCCATCTTTGTTTCTTTCTTTTAAAATAATCCGTCAGTAAACTTCGAACATAAAGTAAAATATTTTATTATTATGGCACAAATACTAACTGTAGAATATGAAACAACTATTTTTAAATTAAAATCAGACGATATTGGTCCAAATAAAGCTACATTATTACATGCTCGAACTACAAATAATAATAGTAATTTATATAAAGCAATTCTTTATCTACATGGATATATTGATTATTATTTTCAGTGAGTAATTTTTAGTTAACTTCTTCATGAATATAAGTACATATATATATTGATTGTTCTTTTTTGTTGTTGTTGTTATATAGTGATCATGTTTGTATACGTTTCTTAGAACAGGGTTATGATTTTTATGCTCTTGATATGCGTAAATGTGGTCGATCGATAATTTCACCTGAACATGATCAATATAAACATTATTGTAATGATCTTCATGAATATGATGAAGAAATTACACTTGCAATTGAACATATAATTAAAGAATCAAAAACTAAAACTAGAAAAATACTATTTTTTGGACATTCAACTGGTAGAAAATAATAGAAAAATATAATTCATATTTTATATTAAATTTTATAGGAGGTCTTATTGCTGCTCAATATGCATGTTCTGGTTCAAGACATGCTGATATTGATGCTATTATTCTTAATAGTCCATATTTGGCTACAATAGAATCAACTCCAATTGAATTAGGACTTATGCGTGTTCTTATGAAAGTACGTAAATCTCAAGATGTGGATGGTGGTTGGTATGGTAAATCATTATATGTATCAGAGAGAGGCGAATGGAATTTTGATTTGAATAAAAAACCAATAGATAAAGTTCGACTACATGGTGCATTTTTTTCTGCTGTACATAGAGTTCAAAAAGATTTAATGAAAAGACGAATTACAATCAAATGTCCAGTTTTGTTTATGTGTTCAAATCGTTCAATGAGAGCAGATAAAACATGGCGTGATGAATATGAAGAAGGTATAAGGCTTTTTATTTCTTAGTTTTTTCATTTGTAGTATATAATGAATGACAAAAATTGAAAGTATCTTTTATTTTATGGATTATTTTGTTAAAAATTATATGTTGTGAAGACATTCAAATAGTGATTTCTGTAGTTCTCAAGATGGATTATAAATCTGAGATGTGAATATTTTCATATGTTTAGATAATTATTTAAAAACTGTTCTATATATTATTCAATGTAGAATTTAATCAGCTAGATTTTGATAAAAAGTATTTTTTGAAAATCAGTTTATAAGTAATATATCAAAGTAAAGAACATTAAAAACTGAACAAAATAGTATTAAACTTTCGTTAAAATGATTCGTCTTACGAGAAAACGACTTCAAGTGACAATCGTCATTTGAGTTCATATTGGACTCATAGACAAATCTTACGAGGGAACCGTTCCAAGTGATTTACGCCGATTTTGCTTATATTTTGCCCATATGTAGGGGTCAGTATGCTAAGAAAAAGCCTAAGAGGATTTGGGCCCATGTTGCTTCTTTCGAAGGTTATGGCCATTTTACTGATTTTTCGGC